CTCTCTCTCTCTCTCTCTCTCTCTCATTCTCTCTCTCAAATAAATAAATCAAATCTTAAAAAAGATTTTATTTGAAAGTAAGAATTTATTTATTTATTAAAGATTTTATTTGAAAGTAATCTCTACACCCATCATGGGGCTTGAACTTACAATCCCCAGATCAAGAGTTTCATGCTCTATGGACTGAGCCAGCTGGGCACCTCAAGGAATAAAAGCTTCAAATACCAAACCTAAGAAGTCAGAGCTCTGATGTGAAAACATGTAAAAGGTCTGGAAAGATATGCATCGAACTATACCCCACACTAGAGGGATGCATCGAACTATACCCCACACTAGAGGGAAGTTACATACCTACTGGGTAGTGTTGAATTTTGTCAGCAAGCATGAGCTTTCTCATTTTCTTTATCAATTAAATTTTGTTCAATCCAGTGTTGGATCAAAGAACAGTGCTGAGGGCGCCTGGGTGGCTCAGTTGGTTGAGCGGCTGCCTTCGGCTCAGAGGTCATAATCCCAGGGTCCTGGGATCAAGCCCCACGTCGGGCTCCCTGCTTGGGGGAGAGCCTGCTTCTCCCTCTCCCTCTGCCTGCCGCTCTGCCTACTTGTGCTCTCTCTCTCTCTCTCTAATAAATAAATAAAATCTTAAAAAAAAAAAAAAAGAACAGTGTTGATAAAAACTGGGGCCTGTCTTTGGTGGCGCAGAAGTCCTCATACCTGCAATCTACGTTTGACACACCTGTGGGCATGAAGAGTGACATCCATCACTCACTGCGGGGCACCGCCCTTTCGTTCGCTAAGGCCAGTGACAAAGTCTCAGGGAGGTGAGGTTGGGCTGGGGACCTGAGGGTCTGGGGCAAGGGCAGGCAAACCATGTCTAGAAAGGACTAGATAATAAAAACGTTAGGATTTGAAGGACACACAGTCCCTGTCACACTATTCTGTCATTTTTTGCACAAAAGCAGCCACAGACAGTATGTGAAGGAACAGTCATGGCACAAGGCCAACCAAGCGAAGCCTGTGTGCTGACCTCCAGAGCAGTGGGCCTGGCTCCTGACTGCACATCAGATTCACTTCAAAGGCTCGTAAAACCACTACTACCCAGGTCCCACCCCCAAGATTCCAAATCTGGGAGAGGGCCCAAACATTTTTGTTTGTTTTTAGGTACCAGATGACTCTGATGTGTATTCTGGGCTGAAAACAATTGTAGGGGCGCCTGGGTGGCTCAGTCAGTTAAGCGCCTACCTTCGGCTCAGGTCACAATCTCAGGGTCCTGGGATCGAGCCCCACATCGGGCTCCCTGCTCAGTGGGGAGTCTGCTTCTCTCTCTCACTCTCCTCTGTGCTCTCGTTCCTCTCTCAAATAAATAGATAAAATCTTTTTAAAAAATACACACACACAATTGTTCTAGAAGGAGAATCATAGTCTCAGGAAACTGCTGGAGTTTTGGGGGCGGGAGTGGAGGGTGCAGGGTGGGGGACAGATGAATGGAGAAGGACCCATGGCTGAACTGAAGTCTAGATTAAGATTAGGACTCTGTGCAGTCCACCTGACAAATTAAGTGCTTCCAGTATTTTGATTAAATGCTCTTTATTTGATGCTTTTGCATGCGCAGCACTATAAGGAGCTTACCCAACCTGAGGAGTCAGCCCCTTCACCACCCTTAGTTAAGGCGGCCATGGGGCCGAGGGAGAGGGGGCAATAAGTTAGCCACCTTCTACCTAACCTTCTTTCTGGGACCATTCTCTATACGCTCCTGCGAAGTTGCGAGCCCTGTGGAGACAAAGGGGGTGAGGAAGGACAGGCCCGAGAGGCAGTCCCCAGTCCCTCCCCAGCTAGCGCCCCACACCTTCCCCATACCCGGTGTATCCAAGGCCTTGGGCCAGCTGCGTGGCCTGCAAGCCCCGCCTGCCCATTTGACAGAAGAAAATGAGGTTCTCCTCTTCCAGCTTCGGCTTCTCGGCGGAGTACAAAGCCTGGAAAGCAGCGGGCTCCATCTGCAGGGCACTTTCCAACTCAGACACTGGGAGGAGTCGCGGGGGTAGAATGGAAAGTCAGCAGTGGGCGATAGCAGGTTCAGACCGGGCCTGGAAGGACTGGGTCCTGGGGCCCGAACAAATCTCCAGAGGGCCCCAAAACAACATTCGGTGACCACTCCCCCTCCCCTCCAACCTCAAGGACCAGACAGGTCCACCTGCGCAGGAAGGCAGCCAAACAGCTGAACGGGAGCCACCTCCCCAACAGCGAGGAGGAGCGGCGCGGGGCGGGGGGGTACCCAACGGGGGTAGGGGGGTAGGTCAAGCGTAGAAAAGCGGGTCCGCCCCTTCCTCGCCGCCTGCCATCCGCTCGAACTGGAAGGGCCAGTTCCGCTGCCAGGATCCGCCTCCCACCAGCCCTTCTCCAGCAAGCTGGGGTGGGGGGGCTTAGAGGAATACAGGACCCCCTGGACCGTGCTTTCCCCACGCCGCCCTAGGAGCCCCTCCTGGACGGCCTCTAGGCCACCCGCGCGGGCGTCCCCTCTGTCCCATACCCGGGATGTTGAGCGCCCCCGGGATGGTCCCCGCTGCCGCCTCCTCCCGAGATCTCACATCGATGAGCCGGGCCTGGCCGGAGGCCAGGAGCGAACGCAGTTCAGGGAGCGAGACCGTGGGCGCTGAGGAAGGAGGCACGAGAGCCTTGAGCGGAGCGGGCTGCCCGGCACTGCCGCGCGGCGCCCCTCCACCTGGCAGCGCCCCAGCCCGGGAGCGGGGGCGAGCGGACCGGAGCCACGCCCCTCCGCTACACCTCCCGGGGGCCCCACGCGCTCCCAGGGGGGCCGCAGGTAGGACGGGACGAGGTCCCAGGTCTCTCCCTGCAGGTACCTCCAGCCATGGTGCGCGCCGCCCCGGCAAGCCGCAGGAATGCAGACCCGGGCCGCCCCCTCGGTGCCGGCAGCATCTCCCCCGTCCTCGCGGAGCCGGGACCGGAACCGGAAGCGAAGGCACCGCCTCCCGCACCGCCCCCGCAGCACCTGTTCGCTGATAGCCGCTCGCCAGGGAAATTCTTGCGATTGCCCAGCGCCGATTGCTCAGCGCCGGCGGGCAACCTGGTATGGCCTAGGCACTGGCACTCAGGGTGAGGAACACAGGAGCAGCACCCCACCCTAACCTTGGCCCAACCCTTACTGGGCAAAGTGCAATGCGCCTCCCTCCCTCCTGCCCCAGGGCCCACAAAAGGAAAACCAGGTGACAACAGCGGCTCTGAACGTTTTATCTTTAAAAAAAAAAAAAAAAAAAGTAAAGGAAGAAAGAAAAAGGAGAGGAAAAACCATCCCCACAAGGGGAAGGCCCCACGTGGGCCCATCTGTTGTTCTCCCTGGCTCCAGAGACTTCTGCACAGGCCTTAGCTCCTTGCCCGCCGATCTCTTCCCGCAGCAGCAGCCACTCACTGCTAGGTATCCTGTTCCCCACTTGTCGCTAAAGCCTGATCCCCAGAGTCCCCGAGTGCACAGCTGAGCTCCGGGGTAAGGAAGAACCAGGGACAGCGCCAGAGCCCTGGGGCAAGCCAGAGCATGGCTTGTGAGCAGACCCTCTGCTGGCCCTCTCAGCAAGCACAGGGCAAGCCCCCACGGTGCCTGGGTCCGGTATCCAGCACGGAGACAGCACATGCATCTGCAAGAGCACAAGGGCCCGGGGGGCTGCGTGGTGAAGCCGGGCCAGGCTGTCAGGGCGCACCCAAGGGTGTGTTTCACACCACCGCAGGTGGCTCTGTCACAGGGCCTCGGGTCAAAGCCACGCCTTCTCAGCTCCCCCTGGTCCCCCGCCAGAAGCGGGCAGTGAAGGAAAGGGGCACGGGGTTAGCCTGTTGCTCCTGGGCTATGTGCAGTTCTCAGAAAGGGGTGGTAGGGCCCAAAGCCCCCAGGTCCCCACAGTTAATTGCTGTCATTCTTGATGACAACCTCGACTCCGTGGTGCCGCAGCTGAGCTCGGAGCAGCAGGTTCTTGTTTTTCAGATCTTCCACCTGGCATGGAAAGGAGGCCGTGGAGAGAGTGAGCAGACAAGCTGGTGCGGCCAGATCCCACACCATATTCACACATCCGCTAGTGAGGGGAAAAGATGAAGCCCCCTCCATGGAAACCAGAGGCAGGCATCCCTCACTGGCTCACTGGCCATGGAGTTGAGGAGGGCTGGAATGAGGAGGGGTCTGACCTGCTGTCGAAGCACATCATTGTCCAGCTGCAGCTGGTCAAGCCCCTGCAGTTCTTCAGACAACCGGTGGTTACTCTGTCGAAGCTCCTGGATATAATCACAGGCTTTGGACAGAATTCCACCTTTACTCTGCAAGAGAAGGCCAACAAAATGAGGACTAAAATAGGTGACACCTGGCTTGCCTTCCCAAAGCACACACTTTGGACCTCATTTTCCCCTAAGGGTAAAATGTGGTAGAACATTTCACAAGGATACAGGAACCTCAGAGAAAGATAAGCCAAGATTACTGCCGTGTGTGCCCTCTCTACCATTTCTGGAAACAATATCAGGAGACAGAATTCAGGCATCCTGACCACTACCAGGGTCTTGCCAGGACCTGGCCAGACTTGGTGCTCTCCATGGAGCAGTCTGGGATGATCTTGGACAGCTGCACAATCCAGTTGTTAATCTTGTCTCGGCGGCGGCGTTCCACTGTGGGGCAAAAGGGAGGACGGGGTGACTCAGTGGGAACTCAACCACAGACCCTGTAGAGCTAACCTAAGCTCTCCCGCTCAGACACCACCGCTGTCCCCAGTCCCACCAAATAATACCTACCTTCGTTATGCTGAGCCCTGCGCTTCTCATCCCGAGTTGTCCTGGGAGCTTCTGACTTCCTGACAACAGAGCCCAGGGTGGCCAGAGTAAGGGAAGGATAAAAAAGTAAGACTGGAGGTTGGGGTAAGGATTGACACGGGACTTGGCAAGGATCAAGACCCACCATGGCAACTGAGAAGAACTGGGGCCTACTCACGGGGAATAAGGGTGAGTCCTGGGGGCAATGGAGCGCTGGCTTCCTCCTTGCAACACTTCTTGTGGTGACATCATCACAAAGAACTGTCCTGTGAAGATACAGGGTAGGTTGTGTCAGGACATGGGACTTAGAAACCTCATCAGTCTCGGAGGCCAAGGTCCTAGGCTCCTCCACTAAAAAGGGAGGCTACTTCCTCCTGCTGGAAGGACAGCCTCAGGCTCAGTGCTGCCCAGGTCTTAGTGAGCATTAAGGGGTCATGGGAAAGGCCCACTGCCCCCAGCCATGGCCCACTGCCCCCAGCCATGTCCCACGGCCGATCCTAGCCCCTCCGGCTAGCACCCTCACAAAGCTCACCGGTGCCGGGAGGGGTCGCTTGCCCCAGCAGTGCCTCCGAGCCTTGGGTGGTAACAACAGCCGCTGTACCCCCTGAGGTGGCACCCCCTGCGCCATCTCCCACTGCAGTGCTGGGGAAGTAAGTATAGTGCGTCTCGGCGGCTGTGCCCTCTGTGTCAACTGCATCCTCGCTGGTGAATGCACCCTGGATCACCGCCTGGGAAGGGCAACAACAGGACAGAGTCCAGGGACAGTCAGATACTTCCCACTGAGCTACTCTGCAGCTTCTATCCCTGGGGGGGAAGGAGGGAGAAACATCCAGAAAGGGAAAACCTAGTGCCTTGAGACAAGGCAGCCCCAGATGCCTCACGCCACCCCCAGCTCCACCCCCATCTCGCGGGTTCAGCTTCATCTTACTCCTCGCTGCTCCACCCCCTCCCCAGCCCAGGCCCTGGCACCTGGGTCATGGACTGAGCGGCAGGATAGCCACTGATGGCGCCAGCCCCCTCAGTCTGGCCGTCCAGCTGCCCCTCAGACACCTGGATCACCCTGTACATCACCTAGAAGCAACGAGGAAAGGGAAAGGTGGGGAGAGAGAATACAAGAGTCAATGCTGGGGACCCCGGGCCTCTCATAAAGCTCCTCTCGGACAGAGCCCTGAAACAAGAGTGCTTCAGAGACAAAGCTTCAGCCATCCCCCCTTCTGTCCCCAGAGGTTTCAGCCTAGCCCCCACCCCTCGGCACCCCACCCCAACCTCTACTCCAAACCTCCTCCTCCCAGCCCCTCCCCCAATGCCCCCACCCCCCTCAGGAGTCCACATCTTCACCGCCTCCTCCAAACCAGGTCTCCCCACTGACAGGCTCATTACCTCCCTCAACCCCAACCCCAGGTAACACCTGCAGGCAGCTGGCCCCCTCCCTTACCTGGCCCCCATTCTCAGTTCGGAAGACGTACTTGACGTTGGGATCAGGGAAGGTGGCAGCTGACTGGATGCTGGCAATAGCCACACTGGTTGGGTCCTCCCCAGTTGCCACTGCTCCTGAATTAAAAGAGCAAAGTAAAAGTCTGTGCCTTACTGCCTTTCTCCCTCTGTTCCACCTGCATGTCATTTAGAAGGACCAGGGTGCACAGGAGATGCACCCATGGGGGGAGGGGGAGAGGCCAGGCTGGGCTCCTGGTCTCAGGTCTGTTTCGACCACTCACCCTCCTGAATCTGCACTGTCCCCTCTTCCGCTTCAGCTGTTTTCTGCTGCCTGTTTGTGACAGGACAAAAGAAAGAAGGGAAGAAGGGAATAAAAAGCTCACTGACCCAATAACATATGGCTTCCAAACTCAATGGCATCCCCAGTAGATGCTGGGCTAAGTTAGAATAACAACAGCTAGTATTTACTGAGTGTTTACTGCGTGCATAGCACTGAGCTAAGCACTTAACACACGTCATTATTTAATATTAAGAACAGCACAATGGGGTAAGTAGCACTACTTGCATTTTGTAGATGAGAAACCAGATCACGCAGCTAGTAAGTGATGGAGCTGAAACCAGAATCTAGGTCTGCCTAACTCGGGAGCCAGTGCTCTTAGCCATTCTGCATTCTCCCAGGCCTCCCATCTCCCGCCCCAGACCCTACCTCTTCTTCACTCACCCCTTCATCTCTCTGTAAGGGGGCACATCCGAGGAGCTGGTCCTTCTTTGGAAGTCTTCGTATCTCCTGCCTCACAGGCCTGAGTGCTAAGTCCTGATAGAAATCAGGGAGTTTGCAGTGAGTCCAGGAAACTGAATAGACTCTGTTTCAAGAAGCTAGGTTCCATGAAGACTCAGCCACGAACACAATCCAATCAATCCACAGAGGACAGTCCGTTTCTTCCATTCTGATACTGAGAAGTGGGCTACGCTGGTTGAAAAAGTAACTCTACAAATAGTGTTCCTCCGCCCTCCATTATCGCTCCAAGTCACGGTGGAGAGGGGATGACTATACTTAAAGACTGAGAAACAACAAAATCTGGATGGATCACGACTAAAGTTACCATGATGGGCCGCTACTTCGGGATTAGGAGGGCCATGTTTAGACCACCACTACCAAAACACAGGGCCACTGAACGCTAGTGCTTCTTCCAGCTTCTGAGCCCCATACTGTACCAAAAAATTTCTGTTCTCAAATCTAGGAAGGGGAAACCTCCCTGAACCATAAGGACATACTCGGCCCTTGGGCCTCATTCTACTTGGCCCCTTGGGCTCCTGCCTTGGGGTGTCCAGATTTATGTCATTTGTTAAAGACCCTAAAGTCCAAGTGTATTATTTTCAAGCCCCTTCCCTATTTTCTTCACCAAGTCTTCCCTAGAACAACACAGTTGCTAAAATGTTGCCATGACAACTCCAAATCAACTGAACCTCAGCAAGAAGGGAAAAAAACTCCAGGCTCAAGGTTCGGAAGGAGAGACAATGGAAAAGGAACTCATTTGCAAGGTGCCCGCCTTAGGACCCTGACACCCAGCCAGAGGGCAGGAAAAACAAAGAGCCGAGGAGACAAATGCCTCCAGAAAGATACAGCTCCCTGTACAAAGCAACAAAATTATCCCCACACGAACGGGTAAGATTTTGGTCAAGTCTCTACCCATAAGGTCCCCCAAACCTTTCCTATCTAAGGAAAATCTTCAACGGATGAGCCCTGGAAAGTCCGCATCGAAGGAAAGTGTTGACCAAAAAAAACCACCAAAACCCAAAAAACAAAAAAAAA